GTACCAGGTTCTCTGCATCCTCTCTGCCTTCCTTCTCATTACCACAGAGGAGTCCCCATTCCAATCTACAGCCAACCCTGTACATCTGTCCTCTACATTTCACCCTTTTTCCCTGCCTCACTCATTAGCCCCCTTCTCTCTATCATCAATTTCTCCTTTGCTGCCAAGTCCCTTTCATCTTTATACAAATATCCCTGAATATCACTCTCTATAAACAAAGCAAATCCTCAGTGCCAGAGACTGCTAGTACTCACTGATACTCATTTTCTTTTCTTCTTCCCGAGCATATAGCTAAATGCTATTTCTCAAATTCTATTTTTCAGCCTCCTTGTGGAGGGCATACAGAAAGTAAATTGTGACTTAGTAATGTACTCAGCTTTCAGGCCTGGCCCATAAAAATCTCCCATATATGATCCTCTACTCTCTTTTCTTTTCTAGGCTGATTTTGAAGGCCACATGTTGATGCTACAAGACTGAAGGCATCTTCCAGATTACTCCTGGAAGAAAGCCACTCAACTCACACTGGACTGTGACTTGAATAATCAACAAACTTCAATTGTGTTAACATGTTGAAATTGTGGTTGTGAGTGACAGCCCTTAGCCTCATATAGTTCTGCATTCCCCCTTCAGTTATTGCCTCATTTCTGTTTCCTTTAACACTCTTGAAAGGGTTGTCTATACTCCTTGTTTTCATCATTCTCCTCAACCTCCTCAAATTCAGCTTTCATCCCCACCATTCCATTGACATGGCTCTTACCAAGGCCATTAATGACCTTCATCTTGCCAAATCCAAGGTCCTTTCTTTATTCTATCTTTTTCAATCTCTCAGCATCATTTAACACAGCTGACCATCTCCATTCTTTCTGAGACACCCTCTGGGACACCATAGTCTCTTGGTTTTCCTCCTGCTTCACTGGCAGCTCCTTCTTCTCTACCAGTTCTCTAAGAATTCAAGGATCCCAGGGTTCTTCTTCATATTTTTTCCCCTCTATCTACGCTTTATGTTTAGGTAGTCTTATCCCAAATGAAATGCCACTGATTCCCAAATCTTTATTTCTAGCCCTGACCTTTTCCCTTAGCTTTTGTTCTGTATATTCCACTGTCTACTGGGATGTCTACTAGGCATCTGTAACTTAACATGTCAAAAACACAACTCCTGATTTTCCCTTTCAAACCTCTTTCTTTATTAGCCTTCCTTTTTACCTGGTTGCTTAAACCAAAAATGTGGGAGGGGTGCCTGGGTGGCTCAGTCGGTTAAGCATCCGACTTCAGCTCAGGTCATGATCTTGCAGTCTGTGGATTTGAGCCTGGAGCCTGCTTTAGATTCTGTGTCTCCTTCTCTCTCTGACCCTCCCCTGTTCATGCTCTCTTTCTCTTTCTCTCTCTCGGAAATAAAAAAATATAAACATTAAAAACAATTTTTTTAAAAATGTGAGAATTGCCCTTGTTTACTTTTCTCCCTACTCCTCCCTATATCCAATCCATCATCAAGTCCTTCCGCCTCGGTCATCAAAACAGCTTACTAAATTTGACTTCTTTTCGCTATCGCCTCTGCTAAGACACTAATCCAAAGCACTTCTTTGATTTAGACTACTCCAACAGCCCCTAGTTAGTGTTCACTAAGTTTAACATGTCAGCCTGAGTAAACATTTCAAAATGTATTCATAAATCAATCACACACTTAACACTCTCCAATAGCTTTCTGTGTGCTACTGGAATTAAACCTCATCTTCCTTATCACGGTCTACAAAGTCCTAGAGGATCTGGCCCCTGCTTACCTCTTCAACCTCATTCTGTTTGCATTAGTCCTCCTGGCCTTCTCTCCATCCCTCAGGTAAGCTCTTACCAATCTCCAGGATTTGGTACTTGCTATTCCTCTGACTGGAATGTTCTTTCCCTGAATCTTCCTGTGGATACCTCTTTCTGATCACTTAGGACTCAGCTCAAATGTCACGTCTTCAGAGCATCCCTATCCTCAGTCATATACTATCCCATTGCTTTATCTTCTTTACAGCAACAAAAAAACAAAATACCTTCATAATAGTATTTTAAAGGATCTTTTTTGATAATATGCTCGATGTCTTTCATGTGGGCCATAGCTGCATGAAGGCAGATGCTCTGTCTTCTTTCTTAGTGTGTCACCACCTAAAGAGTACCTGCACAGAGTAGATATTTGTTGAACTGAATGAACAGTATCAACAACTGGGTGCCTTTGAGGAAAACTAGCATGCGCTATTCTCATTTCTATAAGTGCCAATAACTAGCTGCCTATCATCTTTACAGTAATAAGCTTTTTTTTCTCAGCATAAGTCCCCTCAAAATCAAAATTACTACTTACCTTTGTTGTTTTTTAGTCCATCCATCACCTTGTCTTGCAATCTTTCTATCTTAAAAAATTAAGTGAGGGCACCTGGGTGGTTCAGTTGGTTGAGCATCCGACTCTTTGATTTCAGCTCAGGTCATGATCCCAGGGTGGTGGGATCCAGCCCCACATCAGGCTCTGCCCTAAGTGTGGAGCCTGCTTGGGATTCTCTCTATCCCTGTCTCTCTCCCTCCCTCTGCCCCTCTCCCCTGCTCATGTGCACTCTCTCTCTCCCTCACTCTAAAATTAAAAAAATAGGGGCACTTGGGTGGCTCAGTCAGTTGAGTGTCTGACTTCAGCTCAGGTCATGATCTCAGGTTCTCTGGAGCCCCACATCAGGCTCAGTGCTGACAGCTTAGAGCCTGGAGCCTGTTTCAGATTCTGTGTCTCCCTCTCTCTCTGCCCCTCCCGCCCTCAAAAATAAACATTAAAAACTTTTTTTAAATAAAAAAATAAATGTATCCTGTACAACTAAAATATTTTCCCTTTTCAGATATGGACTGAACCTTTCAAAAGAGGGTTCCACTACTTTAAAAAAATGTGAAAGGGTTAAAACAAATCTTTAGGAAGGTAAGATAATAAAACCCATAGCTTAGTCATATGACAAATTAAAAAAGCCCTGGAAATAAATATAAACATGCTGTCCTATTAATGAGGAGATTTAAATAAGTCAGTCTTTGAAAAATAAAAGATAACAATGAGTTCAAAATTCTATAGTTGTTACTAAATCTCCTTAGGTACAACTTGTGAGTTTACAGATTGGAGTGGTTTTAGAACTGGTCCTAAGTACTGCAACTGGGACAGATTCTGTTCGGTCCAGAACTCTTCAGTAGACAAACATTATTATCCTCTATTAAGTTCAAGAGGCACCTAAAACCAATCAATTTCTGAAGGTGGAATATAAACAAATAGACACAAAATATTTTCCCTTCCTATTTGGCATTCACCTTCCTAATGAATTCTTAAACATCTGTGCTCAGTTCTCCCTTACAGTTCCGATATTGGGGGTTGTAAGGTTAAATTCGTCTAAAAACTAAATTAAAAAATTTCCCTGGTACCAAAATGGGCAAGAAATCTCGCCTCCTTTCTTTTTACTCAGCAATTCCTTTAGAAAAATCGAAATTACAAATGATGTCTTTGAGATGTATGTATACCTTTTAAAAAGCTAAATAAGCCTCTTGCCAGTTTTGAATCCCTCTAAGGTCTTTCTTAGGGGCCTTGAAATTACCTCTTTGAAACGCAAGCACCAAGGAGGACTCTGTCCCACCTCTTGGTCTTTGTGGGATTTTAAACCCCAGCTGTTGGCTTCCAGATGTAACTTCGTATTATTTTTTTCCTTTGGATAAAGACAGCAGGTCGGTGGTGGATTATATCTGCTTGGCTACATAAACAAATGAGGGTTGTTATGGGTTTTTTTGTTTGTTTGTTTGTTTTGTGGGGGTTTTTTGTCTTTACAATGTCTTTAGTGCATCACATGTTTTAATGCTTATTCAATAATAAAATTGTTTCATTCTTTCCTACTTTTAGCGGAGAGGATATTATGGAGTTGGTAGAAGATTTTATTTTTATTATTTATTATTTTTATTTGTGCGAGAGAGAGATCGAGGTAGAGATCACCCAAGCGTGGGAGAGGAGCAGAGGGAGAGAGAGAATCTTGAGCAGGCTCCACGCTCAGAGCAGAGGTCAACAAGGGGCTCAATCTCACGACCCTGGGATCATGACCTGCGCCAAAACAAGAGTCAGAGGCTCAAGGGACTGAGCCACTCAGGTGTACCAGGAGATTTTATTTTTAATGATTTCCCCAACTGGGTCCTCCAGTTTCAGCACTTGTATAGCTGGCTGATAATCCCCAGGCCCCCTCCACACTCGTCTTAGGCAGTAAGGTATAGTGCAAAGACCACGGAATCAGACAACCCTGGGTTTAACCTGTGCTTTTCATTTTACCAGAACGTAACTTCTCTCTGAAGTATTACTTCTTTTTTTCTCTGAAGTATTACTTAACTTCTCTGAACCCCTATTAACCTCATTTACAAAATTAGGACAACAATACGTTTTAAATGAGGTAAATAAACGGACACACAGGAGGTTCTTAGCACTCGAACGAAACAGTTATACCACACTGCCTCCACACACTAAACGTGTGTTTCACTCCCCCTCTCCTCGTGGGTATCTGTCAAATCCCAGGATAGCGTTTACCTCACTAATCTCGAGCACACTGCGTTAAGAGGCAACGAACTCGCAGTGAGGATCTTAACAGCTGAAAAAGTTTTAGTAGGTAAAGCTGACAGAGCCCTCGCAATTCAAACAGAATGGGGGAAAATCAGGTTGCGGGGGTGCCCAAATGCAAATACGTGAATTACAAATGAATACAGGCGACAGCGCTTCCGCACTTCCTCTCCATGGCTCTTCATCAGGACACCGCCCGCCGACGCGGGGGCGAAGATTTGCATGTGCGAAGTTGGAAAGAGGCGGGGAACCACCCATCGAAAACCCCGGCCGCCGTCCCCCGGGGCCCCGGAGAGCCAGCCCCACTTCACCGCCCGGCCCGCCCCCAAGTGCTCCGGTGCGGCCGGCCCCCTGGACGTCACTGCACCTTCCCACCCTCTTCTGAACTTTAAACCACGCGCCTCAGAACAACCTGGAGGAGGGGGATTTCTTCCGAGCCGGCGCCTTTCGCACGCTCAGACAAGTCACCGCCCGGCTCCCAGCGTTCCCCGCGCTCCCGAAGATCCCGCCTCCCACTGTCCAGACCCAATCTCAAAGCCCTGGGCTGCAGGGGGCGGGGCGCGGGCCTCCGGGACGCCCCGCCTCTCCGCCCCCGGGGCAGGCGGCGGTGCGGGGGGTCTACGTCAGCCGCGGGAAATCCCCTCTCCTAGCTGTCCGCCCTTCGGCCTGGCCGGCCTGTGGCTCTGGCGGCGCTCCGCCCCCTACCCCTGGCTCCCGCACCTAGGAAGGGCGACTCTGCGTGATCCAAACGCGAGAATTAAGGGGGTGGGAAGGTGTGAGCCGCAAACTCCGAGGAGGGCGGGAAGGAGGAGGAGGCCCCGGGGGGTGATCAGGGGAACAGGGGATCCGTCGGCAGAGTCCGTCGGCCGCCGGACCGACGCGGGCTGATTGCGGAGGTCTCGGGTCTGGACGCTTGGAGCGGGCGGCGCGGTGAGCGGAGCCATGGCCTCTGGTGAGTGTTCCAGGCGCGGGTCCGGACCGGGGGAAGGAGCTCCTCCGGACGTCGGAGTTTCGGGGGTCCCAGTTTTGGTTGTGCGCGTTATGTCTTTAAAATCGTCTCACCTGGCAAATTGTCAGCCTTTAACAAGTTCCCCGGCTCAAGGTTTGCGTGCGAAATCAAAGTCACGCTCTGTAATTTGATGCCAACGATTTGATTTTTAGGATTAGGGAAGTAACAATTACCTAAATAAAGGAGGACGGATAGTTCTCGTATTTAGAAGTTGTTTTATGTTGAAATGGTGGTGTTATGTTTTAGAACAGGAATGAAGAAGCTTCAGACCTCAGGAGTGCGCTACTTTTTTTTTAAAGTTTAATTTCATCAAGTGCCGAGAGGTGATCACTGATGTGTTTGTTGACAGTTGTACAAAATGTGGTGCGGCTTTAACAGTCACCAGTGGTATCCCAACAGCTTTTAAGTGGAAACGTTGCTTGAACAAAGTGGATAGTTTCTACTCTAAAGCGCGTTCTTTCTGTTTTACGGAAAAGTCATTTTTTTTCTTTATTGGAAAGGAGTATTAAAACACCGGTGCTTTTAAAATAGGAGCAGGAATGAAAACTGTGCATCACTAATGTAGAAACTGATTTTCAGGGGCGCCTGGGTGGCGCAGTCGGTTAAGCGTCCGGCTTCAGCCAGGTCACGATCTCGCGGTCCGTGAGTTCGAGCCCCGCGTCAGGCTCTGGGCTGATGGCTCAGAGCCTGGAGCCTGTTTCCGATTCTGTGTCTCCCTCTCTCTCTGCCCCTCCCCTGTTCATGCTCTGTCTCTCTCTGTCCCAAAAATAAATAAACGTTGAAAAAAAAATAAAAAAAAAGAAAGAAACTGATTTTCAGTTAATAGATGCGTCGATTTCTTGCTTTGGAGGGAAACGGCTTTATCAAAAAACAGGTTAGAGGACAGGGGAGGGAGTCTCAAGTATGTAGCCGTGGTTTAGATCTGTTTGTAACCTAAAGGGAAGTAAATCGAGTAGATGGTTCCAGTTGGACCTTTACAGGATGCTGGCAAGTTTCATGAGGACGTTTCCCGGCAGAGGGAGCAGCTTGAGCAAGGCTGGGAGGCCTTATCGATAGTATTAAGTTAGCGCTGTACTAAGTGGCAGAAGAGGGGACCTTGTTTTTGCTTGACCCGCGTCCTCCCAAGTCCCTGATTCAGTGACCCTCAGAAGGCTGATATCTAGCAGAGAAGAGGAAGTAGAAAGCATTAAAGGATTTTTTTTTAAGGGTTGAGCAGAACAATGCCATAGCTACTGCTGTAGGCCGAAAAGGAAATTGGGGTGGTTCACATGACATTTGATTTCACTTTGTCTGTGGTTTTCATGTGAGAATACAAGTGTAGTTTAAAATATTTCAACTTTCTCTTTACTCACTTCAGTGACCCCAAACTTTAAGATAATTTTGTAAATTTATAACTTCAAAGCACATTTAGAATAAAAATGCAAAGATGATCTGAAATATTTGGCTAATTTATTATTGGTTACCAGAAAGATTTTGTGTGAAAATAGTAAAGGTGAGCATTATAAATAAAAAAGGTCAGACTGCTGTCAACTTACACAAAATTCGTTAATATGTGGCTTGAATACAATACTTCTAATTACTTTACAAGGGAGAAAAGAACCATTTACACAGAGGGTAGCGTAAGCCCCACAGCATTCAGGAAGACGATACAATTTAAATTTGTTTAATGGCACTGTATTTTGTGCTGTTGTGAGAGCTGATTCCCTAAATTGAAGGGGAAGAAATTTAAAGGAATGGAAAGCTGTAGAGCAGTTATCTCTTTTTTTGTTTTTGTTTGTTTTCTGTTTTTTTGTTTTTTGCCTTTTCTGGAGTTGCATTAAAATGGGACTATTTAAAATATAACAAGTTATTTGGGGTGCCTGGATGACTCAGTTGGTTAAGCGTCCAACTTCCGCTCAGGTCATGATCTCACGGTTGGTGGGTTCTAGCCCCTCGTTGGGCTCTGTGCTGACATTTCAGAGCCTGAAACCTGCTTCGAATTCTGTGTCTCCCTCTCTCCCTCTGCTCCTCCCCTCACTAGTACTCTTTCTCTCAAAAATAAATAAATTAAGTAAATAAATTAAAATATAACAAGTTATTTAAATTGGAATTCAGTTGTTTGAAAACTGCCAAGGAAATTTTTAAAAAGGAGTCTGGGTATATTTTCCTTAATCACTTGTAAAGGCCTTAGAGAAAAAGATGCAATAATTACAAATTCTTTTCCTGTTTTGAAACAGTAATTGAACCGAAAGAGTAATAGGAGAAAAATTTTTGCTTAGTTTATCTTTGTTTAGTTTAGATTATTTGTAGTAAGGTAGTGTTGGAACCTCAAAAAGTATTTTTATTGATTACCAAGCACTTTAGACCATGTCTTTATTTCTCACCGGATGTCATATGTAAATAGGTACGTGTAGTTGCTTATGTTATCTGTATAACGTAAAAGTAGGAGACCATAATCTCGTAGGCAAAATTATATAAGTACCATGAGTAACTGGGACTTTGATATGTTTATGATTCTAAATTTTGTTCAGGTAAATTACCAAATTAATTATTTAGGATTTCACAGATCAGGTTCTATTAAGTTGTCTTTATTGCTTGTTTGTTTGTTTGTTTGTTTGTTTTTAACACGTTGATTTTTCTGTCTTTTGGCACAATTAATTAGAACGGGTATTGCTAAGAAGAATGTTCCTTGTCCACTTAGGGTATGCGTAGGCAGTCATTACTCTTATATATTTATGATTCTGTTTTGCTTAACATAAGCAAAATTAGCTATTTTATGTCTGAACTTAAGGCTTCTCATTGTTCCAGTAGAAAGTACGGAATGCTCTTATGCACACATAGGTCTGTTTCCTAATAAGCAGTACTGTCTTTGGTAAAATATGTTTTAATATTTAGATAATTGATTTTTATTCACAGTTTTCTTAAGTATAGTTCTGTTGTGTCATACAATAGGAAGTACATGAAGAAGTTGTTTTTGTAAGCCACAATACTTCCAACTCTGTGGTGTGAGTTTCAAGAGAACTATAAGTATTTCTCTTGAGTAAGGGGAAAAAAAATCAGTGTAGGTATGATGCAACTTAATCTTTAACGATAAAGCTGGAAGCTGGAATTGGCAACTAAAGCAAATGACTTTTTTAAGTAGAAGACTGCACACTGTAAACACGAAGGCTGTTTCAGACTTGCCACCCATGAAAACGTAGAGACAATAGTGGTATGAAAGAATGAAGGTGCTGACAGAATGAAGTGGTATGATAGAGTGAAGGCACTGAGTGAGTGAAATGGCTAGGGAGGAATCATGATGAATCATAATTGGTACCATCTGGGGTGTGTGTAGTATCTTTCCCAAATACAACTTAGGAGGCTCAGCATTTCCTTTTGTCCTGTCCTTCTCTCATCCGCGTTCTCTGCAAAGGATTGTGTTTGTAGGCACTTGACCCAAATACTTGCATGGGACATACTTATACTAAAAACCAGTCAATATTTGTTTAATACTTTTTAAAATTGGCATCCTGTAATGTTTAGTTTTAAATTTGGCAGGCTTTTTAAAAAAATTTATTTATTTATTTATTTTGAAAAAGAGCACGCGCGCACAAGCGGTGTAAGGGGCAGAGAGTGAAGATACAGAAATCCCAAGGAGGCTCAGTGCTGTCAGCACAGAGCCCATCCGTGGGGTTTGATCCCACATACCGTGAGATCATGACCTGAGCGGAAACGAAGAGTCAGTCGCTTAACTGACTGAGTCACCTAGGTGCCCCTAAATCTGGCAGTCTTAATCAAGACAGGTGATTTGGTATTGCCATTCATTTTCAATTTAGTTAAACACCTGAGTAATCTGGGACAGATTTTAAAATATTTCTCTACTTTTTCATCCCAGAAGTTAAAATTTTTTTCGAGATCCTCCCCGCCCCCCCAACACAGTGAAATCTCTAGCACTTACCAACTCTTACATCTTTTATTTACCTTATGCTGCATACATCAGTCAAATACACATCCAAAACTTTCCTTACTTGGATTCTTAAGGCCCATTTCCGAGTCAGCCTCAGATATTGGAATAAATCTGGACTTTAGCCCATAATGAAGCTGGTTTTATTCCAGTTCTGCTACTCTGTGAGATAAAAATGAGAGAATAACTATTATAAAGGCTTGTTTTTAGGAACCCATAAATACCCATCAATGTTAGTTTTCTTATGTAGTGGAGCTGTTTGGGGACCCAGACCTCTAGGAAATGGGACTTTCTAGAGATAGTTTGAGTATCCTGACATTCTAGAATTCTGTGAAACCTTAAAAACTTACAATAATAGGCTAGAACAGATGCTAGATAGAAAATAGTCTTTCAAGAATATATAAGACTACCCATTTACTTTTAAACAATTTGAAATGGTTTTCTGTATTTTTAAACTAGGGGAGAAGAATTTAACAGTGATGTTTGGAGGCAGTGTATCTTTTCTCTGTTGTCCACTTAAATGATACTGAA